CGCGTGGCCTGCACGCAACCGGTACCTCCTCCCTTTCGGAGGGAAACATCATTGCAGACTCTGATATTGCCCGTACAGGCCCTAGACTCAGACTAATTGGACTGGTACCTGCCTAGAGCTGGTCAACAACTACTGGACCTCTAAAAATGCCAACTTTCGTCTTCTTCTGCTCGACCTCGAGTACCCGATACATCTACCACTACTTGGTGTGGTACCGGCCTACCTGCTAATTGAGTGTTTTTCCCAGCTGTGTCGTGGGCCTATTCCCACCACTTGAGTGTTTTTCCCGCTGCAACCCTCAATGTCACGGCCACTGGTAAGTAGCGGCCCTATGGGCCTTCACAAGCAAGCAAGTACCCTTGCGAGTCCCACTCGCACTCGAATCGTCAAGCACTCAGACAGGCATGCAGACCAGCAAGCACGCACACGCACAGACTCTGGAAACTCAGCAACAACCGGAAAACTCAGCACGGCGTTCATTCCATTGGCAAAACTCAGATCAGAAAGCAGTGTTCTCAGTCTGTGTTTGTGCAGGTCCTTACACTGCTCTTTTTCGGGTAAGTCCAATAATACCACCTACAGGTAAATAACGTAATACGTTTTCGTGAATTTCTGCTATCTTTATATTTAGCATCATAACCAAAAATAAAAATAGAAAAACCCAGCCCTCTCCTTCTTCCTCTCTCTTGCTCTTCTCCGCATTCTTCTCGTTTCCGTCATTGTGATCTCCGTTTTTTTTCCAAAAGGTAAATTAATAACTATAATAAGAACAACATCAATAACAAAATAAAAGCATACTAATTGTCTTCCTGGCTCGATGCGGTCGTGGAGAGGACACGCCATGCTCAGGTGGAAGCGGCACTGCCGCGCGACCAAAGATCTACCACGAGACTGAAGAGAGGTGCCACCCGTCAACAGTCCTTCGGAATCACCAAAACTTTGAACCACCTCCACAAACCAGCCAATCGGTAGACGCAACGAGCAAGTGTGTACGCAGAGCAAGGATGAAATCAGTACGAGCAGGACTCATGCCTACTAAGTATTCCTTATTCACAATCGATAATTACAGCCGCCTAGCCGCCTATCCCGTTATCATGTTGTCCGGCCTTCCAACCCAGGCAAGCAACAAGTCAGATTCATCCGCGCGTGCCAACGACAACAGTGGGGTGGCAGCCGGGCAACTCAGATTCAGTTTCTGTCTTCCCCTCCTTTACTTCTTCTTCTCCCTTCTTCTTCCTCTTCTTCCTCCTGCTCTCAAAATGACTGCTTGTCGTGCTCACCCCTTCTCTCTCTCTCACAATCCTCTCCTACGTACTACTGTATAGTATCTGGCCAGGATCGCGGCCAGATAGGACAATCCATTCCTACATGCACTCTTCCACTGTATTGTATCTGGCCATGACCGCGCGGCCCAGATACAAATACAAGCAATTAATAATTGGAAACAAATAAATAAGTCAAACATAGATAAACCAAGTTGCAATGTCACGTAGAATTAAAAGCGGAAATCGCAATCGCATACCAAATAGGAACAAGCAAAACACCGAAGTCTCTTGTGTTACTG